TAAACTGTTCTATAAGTTTTTTCTCCATGAGTTCTTGATAAGCTTTCTTATGATCTGCCTCAAAACTTCTAAATCGTTCACCCGTCGCCTTCACATAATACATGTAACTCGGTGGGTAAGAGAAAAACGCTTCAGCTACGGACTCGAGTGGGTCTTCTAATCTCCAATGAAACAAATAGTTCAGTATTTTATTTTTATTTTTATTTTAACAAATTTTATTTGGATCGATATTCACAATTTTTAACAAACAAAAGAAAATAACAGAACAAATATTACATTAAGTTAAAATAACCTAGATATCAAATGTAGATCCAAAAAGGTAAGGTACGAACGGGACTCTTATAAAAGGTCCCATGCAGGGCACCCACCTCCAAAATAGTAATCATGATAACAAATAGAACATCACGAACTCAAACTCGCTAAAGGATTCAGGCAAGCAAAAAATTAAATGGAATAGTTAAACTCGAAATTCAAAATAGTCACCGCTTCAGAGAGTTTGAGTAAACGTGGCTCAATTTCCTGAAACTGGGCGTGTCAAGTAAACTAAGAGACAGATTAACATGCATGTAAAGGTAAAGGCCAGCTTCCACACAGGAAGATCCTCCGCTGAACAGAAACGGCGGGAGAGCTTTCATTGTGTTAAATTCACGACACATTGTAGTTCGTGGTTCTCAGTGTTCTCATGTAGTTCCATCAATGAATCGACAAACGTAGAATCTGGATCTTTTTCCAGTTGCTGTAAATGTTCGAGTACATCTCTATCAACCGCTAGTTTTAGTACCCTCATTGCCTCAGCGAATTCATTCCAAACCGTACGCTTACCATTCACTCGTTCGATCGCTTGTAAACCATACATTTGCCATCGTTCGTTTTCGTTCATCATGAGGCAGTCATGTTGTCTTTGACTAGGATGACCGACTTGACAACCATTACAGGATTCCACACAAAGTCTTTCAACTTCTTGTGCGACTGCATTCGCAAATATTCCTTCCAATAAATTGTAAGATGTGGTTTTACCGTGTAGACACTCCATGACTGATGTGGAACAAATACAGACGATGCTTGTTACAAGACGCTTGTCGATTTTATACAGACGCTTGTATAAAAGTTCATAGTAAGCCAAGATTAATTCCTCTATTGTATCATACACGCGGAGAGACGCTAAAAAATGCTTAGTCAGCACGTTTCACCTGATCGTGTTTAAGCTAGCCCGCGCGACGTCATTGTATATAATTATGACGTATGTTAATGAGTGACGTCATTACTCCTCCTCACTCCTCCTCACTCCTCCTCACGCCTCCTCACTCCTCCTCACGCCTCCTCACTCCTCCTCCTCCTCATTTCTCCTCACTCCTCCTCCTCATTTCTCCTCACTCCTCCTCCTCACTCCTCCTCCTCAAAAATCCGGCCCGAACGGTACCTATATTACTACAATCGAGTGAGATGCCAACAAAATCTTGATATTTACACTTAAAAAACTCATTAATAATTACAAAAGACAAAAGAAAACACTGCCGTGTCGGTAATTTTACAAGTGATAAAAAAATCATGTTTATTTACATAAACTTTAGCTTTGATTTTTTCGGCTTAGACAACGTTAATTTTTAAAATTACTTCGCCAATGAACTCTTCAGATGGGTCGTTTTTTAAGCCATTTAGAAAACTCACAGTCCGTGCTTTATCAGATATAAAACACTCGAGCTGCGCTCTCGTGCTTTATATGTGGTACAGCCCCAGCCAATACAGCATTATGCATTTCAAGTTTGATGTTCTCTTTGCAACTTATCTGAACAACATGTTCAATTGCGTTTCCTATTTCTTGTTCCTGTGCATTCTCCAGTGGTTGATGGTTGAAATGTTCATTTTTTCGGTTGTAGTCCCACGGTTAACTTCATCCGACGTTGTTTGAAATCTACTCTAATTCCTCTTTTTAACGAGAATAAGGATTCGTTCTTAAAAATTTAACAAGAGTGCATGTATTTGACGTTACTTTCATTATATTTGTATATACCTAGATTAGTTTGTAGTTTGGTAAGTTAATTTGTAAATAATTAATAAAACGGCTCCTTGAAAAGCAGCCTCGGCTGAAGGGTTATCGTTGTTAAATAACTTTCTAATAATAATAATAATCCGCTTCGTTTGTAAAGACCCATTTACACTTGCAATTTCTGCTTGCGATTTTAGGTGCGATTTTCTTCTTCTGATGGATGTGAACGAGTGGATGAGTTATGAATGTTCATTTGAGGGTACGCATACTCACAACATTCATTACTCATTACTTCACCCCTTGGTGATATCATCAGAGGTCATGGTCTTGATTTTCACTTTTATGCAGATGACTCGCAATTATATCTCGCTTTTGAGTCAACCATTGAGGGAAAATTGGGAGCACTGGCACAAATTGAAATGTGTGTGAAAGAGATTGATTTGTGGATGGTCAAAAATAAATTGAAATTGAATAGGGACAAGACTGAACTGCTAGTAATCAAAGCACGAAATCGTTCATGCCCTGCTGTAGAATATATAGAAGTATCTAATTGAAGAATTCAACCAAGTACTTCAGCACGAAACATTGGTGTAACGTTCGACCACCACATGTCTATGGATAAACATGTTACCAATATTTGCAAGAACTGTTTTTTCCATTTGAGAAAAATAGCAAGAATAAAAGAGTACTTATCAACGTCAAATATCCAAACTTTAGTTCATGCCTTTATTACATCGAAACTGGATAATTGTAATTCTTTATTATACGGATTGCCTAAATTTCTTATTGATCGGTTACAGAATGTGCAAAACTGTGCTGCTCGACTGGTGACAGGAAGCAAAAAATACGATCATATTACTCCATTAATGAAACAATTACATTGGCTCCCCATCAGTCAACGCATCATCTATAAAATTGTTCTTATTACGTATAAATCTCTGAATGGCTCAGCTCCACATTACATTAATAATATGCTAAAACCTTACACACCATCAGCAAATTTACGCTCCTCATCCAAAGGATTGCTTACCATACCCTCAGTAAAACTAGTGAACTATGGTGAACGATCGTTCTCATATACTGCACCGAAACTGTGGAACGAACTGCCAGAGTATATTAGAAAGAGTGAGACCTTGCCTATTTTTAAAACCAGATTAAAGACACATCTTTTTAAACAGTATTATGACTAAGTTATTATTTTAACAAGATTATTAGCAATTTTGTAGTACTCTATATAGTTGTTGTTTTAATATTATCAACATACATAACATAAAGTAATTTTATATTCTTAACGAGAAGAGCATATAATTAATTTTTTAGTAATTTTATAGTATAGTAATTTTAGTAGTCAATGCATGTACTATGTTCTAACACTTAGTGTATATTTTTGACACTTAATGTTAAGCGCTATTGAGCTATGGGAAATGGCGCTATATAAATGAATTATAATAATAATAATAATACTCGTTCACATCCATCAAAAGACGAAAATCGCACTAGTACAATAATCGCAGCGAAAATTGCAAGTGTAAAGGCCCATACAAACCGGACGCGATTTGGCAACGCGACGCGAATTTTCAATTTTCAATGACATTTAACTTTAATATTTTTCAATGTTTTTCAAATATTCGGAACCACTTAAGCAATTTTAGCTATTTGGTCTGCATATCTTGTAAAATTTTTATCCGTTGACGGTTTTATTTGTTTTTGAAAACTAAAAATTCGCGTCGCGTTGCCGAATCGCGTCCAGTCTAGATTAGATTAGATTAGATTTATTAAAATACTTGAATGGCAGTTCAAAAACGAACTGAAAAACACAAGTTTACATAGTTTAAAAATAGTAGAACAAAATACGTATATACAGATTATAGACACGGTGGTAATACTAATTACAATAACGTAGGATTGCTAATTTACAAATGATATATTAATCTATAGAAGCCTAAAAGGTTAAAAAGAGTTCCATTTGCGTACGCAATATGGCAAAAGACTATCATTATAGCGTTTAGTTCGGGTTTTAAAAAGTGAGATAGATCGGGAATGTCTAAGATTGTACTGATGATCTAAAGGTTCAGGTAATAGATTAAAGATTTTGCTCGAAGTGTCACTATAATTGTTTTTGTAAAAAGATCTACATAACAATTCCCTTCTCTCCTCGAGAGTGGGCAACTTTAGGTCTTTGAGGCTTTCGGAGTAGGACAAGTGGGGAACAATAATTTTGAACACACGTCTCTGAATGTGCTCTAATTCATCAGTCAGGAACTGGACACGCATATTCCAAGACAGGTCTGATAAAACTACAATATACTGTCCTAAGATCACTCAGTTGGACACCATTTCTTCTTAATATCCTTAAAGCGTACAAACGTTTGCTTGCTTTGGAGGATATGTGCCTGATGCGTGTAGTCCACTTAAGATCGGAGGTCAAATTTACCCCCAGGAGTTTGATGGTATTAACAGCTTCCAGGGGTTGGTTATTGACAATCAAGGGTTGCGCCAAGGGTTAATTGATCAAAAATGACACGGTGAAATCTTTAGTTTTTTTTACGTTCAACTTCATGTTGTTCGCACTTGACCACTGGGTCACGTTGTCAAGGTCTTGCTGTAATTTTGGTAGATCCGGTTCACATACTCTAACGACTTCAGAGATTGCATAATCGTCAACATACTTGTACAAAGGCAATTCGCTGGACAGATCATTGACCATTATAAGAAAGAACAGAGGACCAAGTTTGGTACCTTGCGGAACTCCGGCTTTTATTTCTTTCCAATCAGATTTACAAGTTTTTAATTTGACGCGCTGCTGTCTGCCTTGAAGAAAAGTTGAACACCAGTTTAATAGGACCAGTGGACCATTGGGAAGCTGTAACTTGCGCATCAGAATGTTATGATCGATTCGATCAAGGAAAAATCGATGAAGCAGGTTCGGATAATGGTGTTAGGCGTTTCCAGGGCAGAGAGCCAGTAGTGCACTAAATGCACGAGGGCGTGAGTGGTTGAAGACTTTTTCACACTACCAAACTGGAAAGGGTCGATGTATGGCATAACAATAGGTGCAAAAGTTGAAAACAAAAGACTCAAGAATTTTGTTCAACACTGCAGTTAGAGATATGGGTCTAAGGTCCGTATCAATAGACTTCGGTCTAGAGATCTTCCCCAACGGGAGGACATCCGCACATTTCCACAGCCTCGGGACACGACCTTCTCTAATAGAAGAGTTAAACATGGAACACACAGGGCTGCTAATAGTTGTGGCGCAGGTTTTCAAGAGCCAATTGGGAATCTCGTCAGGTCCTACAGACTTGCGATCTTGGACAGCCACCAAAGCAAGTTCTACGGCATCACGGGCAATAATGTACTCATCAGGAATGTTGGAAACAGGTATGGGAGTAAAGTTTAGTTGTGGTATGTCAGCAGCAACGCTGCAAAAGGATTCGTTAATAGCGACTGCAAGATCGAAGTCCTTCAAAACAGTGCCATTTACGGCTAAGCTTGTTAACGGGGGAGGATTAGAAAGTCCAGACAACAGCTTAATTCCGTCCCACCACTTTTTAGGATTACTCTCATGCATGTGATTAATTTTGTCATTGTAGAATCTTTGGCGTGCTCTCTTGCAGAGTTTTATCACTTTATTGCGATAAACATTATATTGGTGTAAGTCATTATTCAACCAAGCTTGTTGACGTTTCTTAATAGATTCTTTAATAACAGGAGTAATCCATGCTTTGTCGTTAGGATGATGTTTCACAGTACGCATGGGGATACAGGAATTCAAAGCAATGTGAACTACCGACTGGAAAGAATCCAGTTGTTCCTCGCATGAATTCAGCCGCATGAGTGGCGTCCAGTTAACAGTATTCAGACGAGAGATCAAATTTTGTTTGTTAGGAGCTCGATAATCACGCTTTTGCAATCGTGTGGTTGGTAGACTTGGAGCATGTGTCGAAATAGGTTGTAGTAAGATACTGGAATGATCGGATTTACCAATAGGAGGCAGGATGATGGCATCGTAGTAAGGTGACAGAGTTGAAAAAGCTTGGTCAAGGATATTACTTCCCCTGGTGGGCTTGGTAACCAGTTTCTTGGAGATTTCCTGGTTTGAATTGATTGAAATCACCAAGGACCAAGATGGCAGAATTAGGATATGCATTCGAAGAACATGGTCATCACTCTGAGGAGGATGGTAAACTGTTCCCAATAAAATAGAGTTGATTCCTCGTGGTAAACGTTCCATTCTGATTAGAAACCATTGACTCTCAATTTCTGGCTCACTCAGGTCAGTTAATTCAGTAAAATTAAGTTGTGAATTTAAATAGGTACAAAGACCGCCCCCGCGTTGGTTATTCGGTCTATCCCTTCGGCACGATACATAGCCAGGTATACGAATAAGTTCATCAGTTACTCGTGAATTTAACCATGTTTCAGTAATTACGACAACATCGTATAATTCGGTGGAAATTGATGCTGAGACCTCGTCTAACTTATTGACCATCGACCTAACATTACTAAACCAAATCTTGGGGAAGCGTGGAATTGTAACTGATCTCCGCAAGGGGATTAATGAACTATTATCAGGGACACTGATGCACTCAGGCCGTTTGTTTTTCCTGGGTTTCATGATTGTAGGAATCGGGTATTTGTTAAGTTCCTGGTTATGTGAAATGGCACTTACAATGTTTTGAGGGGGTAAAAACGACGAGATTTGGGTTAGCATATTATCTGCTTCGTGCGACAATGAGGTGTTCGTGGAAGTGCTAAGATTGAGCTCCCAAAAACTAGATGATTCCCCCATTCCGCTATTATTAGAGTTAACGTTTCCACTCAATACCGTACCGCCCCGACAAGGGGGAGAAAAGTGATACGTTTTCTTTGGAAATCTGTTCGTGATTCGAACTGGTGATGGCCGTTGTGGAGGTTTTTTTTATTCAGGAACCGGTTCTTGTGGGGACTGTCCGTGATTATTATGTGGACAAGGTTTGAGTGGTTTAGCCAATCTTTGGTCGGTCGCGAAGGAGAGGTGGTTTGTATCGGAAATAATGTTTCCGAAAAGGATTTTTCTTACGTTTCTCTAAAGGAACGTATTCGGCCTTGTCATGTGCTATCTTATGACGATTATGTTTGTCAGCAAAATTATTTTTTGTATTGGGTGTAGATAATTTACCACTGGGTTGGATACTTTCTACGTCTTGGTTTGTCCTTTGTTTAGGATGCTTATTAATTAGGATTCGGAAAGCTTGTTGTGGTTTCTTGGCTTGAACGACTCATCGGACATGCTATCAGTTAAATTATTTACTGATTTTAAAAGTACACCATTGGGAGGTGTTACAGGCAAGGGGATGTACAATGATCTGTTGTTTTCTTTGTTTAAGTCGGTACTTTGTATATTTATGTCTAAATTAGCATTTCCGTTGCTTTGATTGCTTTTTTGTTTAAGGGGCTCATTAATTATAGATTTGGCCGGTGTGTTCTTGTCCAGATTTTGATATGCAAATTTCAATAAATCACGTTCGTTTTCGACTTGAATTAACTTCTCCTGAAGATTTGTAATAGTCTTGTTTTTTCTTTTAAAATTACGGAAAACTCTTGGAGAAACGTTTCGAGTCTAAGATCATAAGGTACGCGGCCACTCTCGGGACCTGAAGGTATCAGAATAGCACTCATGGACTCAATAATTGCGTTAGTGGAGTCTATGATTGCATTGACAGAGTTCCTTTGTGTTTGTAAAGCCGCGACGTCCGATTTAATATCCTTCAAAACCTTACTATCGATTCTGCTTTCACAGCAATAACCATTATACACAGATGAATTGATATGAGTGCTAGTATTGTTGGTAGTTTCGTCTAAATCTCCCGACAAAAGAGTAGGTTCAAGGGGTATTTTGGTTGTTGTATTTAATACTCCGTCCGTGATAGCGTCTGTTTGATTTGCAGAGTTTGTTTGTAAAATACGCACCAGAAATTTCTTGAATGATTCGCCTTCTTTACCGTGGAATATCAAAGAGTTTAGCTTTCCGGGATACCAAGTCATAACAAAATCGAGATTCGAGTCATTAAATCGTTTTGCTCTACCGCCGGGCGACTCCCATTCACCGCTTAGTCCAGCGACGTTTTTAACAAAATTTTGTAATGATGAAAAGTCTTGAGCCCATTTAATGCGGGTGCCATCATAAGTTAGGTAAGCTTGATTATTTAACAACCTAATGGGCTCTAGATCGACATTCTCCAGGATAAAATCCGTATGATTAAGTGAGCTCGAAATTTCACAGCTGACCGCCATATTGCTAGTGTCTAGGACGTACTTGCAGGAATGCTTTCTCGAGGTCGCTTGTAAGGAGTATTAGAGACCTTACGATTTTAGGACGGCAACCGCGACGGTAACGGCTACGAATACAATAGATCATTGAGAAGAATTGAGTAATTACAATAAATGAATAATTTAGACATTGTCCTCGCTCTGTTTACAACGCCAAATCACATATTTTCACGTGTTGATACAACGGCTGCATTTCAAGCCACAACAAGTGCAACTTCAAACGGTGTTTAGCACAACTCTTCCCAACCATAAAATCCATGTTTTCAACTTCTAAGACTGTACTAAATTCATACGATTGATAATATACGACAAACTATCGACTACCATTTATTTGAAGGAGTTTATTTTGGCCGTCGCCGTCGCGGTTGCCGTTCTAAAATCGTAAGGTCTCTATTGGGTAGAATCGCGAACGTACAAGGATACTCCAAAGAAGATTTTGCAGAGGAGGGCCAGGATTCAGGCAGTCATTCAGTGATGATTGGGCGTAATAATAATAATAAGCTAGCTGATATAAATCAGCCGCTAGCTGACTTAGAATTTTATATCAAAACTATCCACTGGCACTTAGGCCTGTTTTATACGTCGAATTTCGGTCGCGTCGAATGCATTTCAAACAATAGATAATGAAGCTTAATGAGGTTTATGATCTCATTATGTATTGTTTGAATTGCACTCGACACAACCGAAATTCGACGTATAAAACAGGCCGCATTCATGTATACATCGCCCCGTATCTTTCATAGATAAACCAGTGTGTTATATTATAATACTATCAACCTCAAATGTAATACACCCTAGTCTACACGATTTCAGCATTTCACAACGCCGCTCAATAGCGCTCGTCCATGTCCGCCATTGTAAAATAATAACATATGAGAACATGTGTACTGTGCACCTGTATTTATGTTGCAGGGGGGCATATCATATTTTATCAAGTGCTTGAAATGCAACAGTAATTTGGTTACAACTTCTCTAAATGTCTGATAAATAAGTAAGAACATGTACTATCATGAATATAAATATAGTTTGTTATAATCTACAAACAGCTATGAACGATTAGTTGGCCGAACATCGCGAAGCTCTAGAAAACATGATAAAAGGTCAATTGCAAGCTCCCCCCGGATTGTTTACTCTATCAATCCATAGATCGATCGGTCACTGAATTGAATTTAACCTCATAGCAATAGTTCAAAGCAACTTTGCACTAAAAACGACAAAAACGATTGACGTCCAACAGCTCCATCTTGGCTTCACTTTTTGGACTCGAGTTCTCACTCCAGATATAATATGGAGCTCACTGCTACACATACAGTGGTTCGTCCTACTCACCCAGATATAATACGGAGCTCACTGCGACACATACAGTGGTTCGTCTTACTCACTCCAGATATACTATGGAGCTCACTGCTGCACATACAGTGGTTGTTCTTACTCACTCCAGATATAATATGGAGCTCACTGCTACACATACAGTGGTTCGTCTTACTCACTCCAGATATAATATGGAGCTCACTGCTACACATACAGTGGTTCGTCTTACTCACTCCAGATATAATATGAAGCTCACTGCTACACATACAGTGGTTGCTCGTACTTACAGAACTAAACAAGAGTTAGACGCCTGGTCGATTAGTCCCTTAAGCAGACCAAAATGCGAAACAAGAACTTTGTCACAAGGCTCCAAATGTAGAATCATGGATAATAAAATAAATGGATAGGAAACTAGCTGACGTGATCTAATGTTTTCAATGGGCTGATGGCGTGGTTGGATGTTGAAACCTAGTTGCAAACCAAATTCTCAAAAACAGCATGTTTAGCAATAATACAGCTGAACATTTTAGTCAAAGGGCAAATAAATCTGACTACGCCATTCTACGATGAAATCTCTAAGTATTCCCAGTCAAATTTGGCAAATACTTCAAGCACTAAACAGTGAAAAATTCATCGCAAATTACGTTAAAATTGGGGACGCCAATTTCGTAGCTACAAATGTAAAAAATACAAAACAAAGACTAAAAACATTTACCTTGAATACTTTGTCGTGACTTAGGCATGTTTTTAAAACAATTAGACCAGTTTAGGCTTCAATATTACTCTTTTAAAGCGGAAAATATAGCGAAACAACAAAAATGCCGAGAACTTTGCAATACGCGTGACGTCACAGATTGCAACTAGGTTGTTTTTGCTTACGTCAGCTAGAGTCCTATCCATTTATTTTATTATCCATGGTAGAACTTACCTCAATTTTGATCGGATATACGATATACTCGTGTGCTTGTCCTTGGAATTTTTGTAAAGGATAAGAGATATAAAGTTGAATGGATTGTAGATCACTTTCGCCTGTATTTTTAAGCTGTAGAGTAAGAGGGAAAAATAAAAATAAGGAATGAAGTCAAAGGGTAAAAACTGTTATCGAAAGACTTTAAATATTGGATGTATCTAT